GGAAAGAGATTATTTAAAAGAAAGGCTCCATTACTATACATAGCTGTAAATCTGATTTTAAAGAAAAATTTCACATGCTCTTTCTAATATTAATAGGTATTTATGAATTCTGCCACATCCTGAGAACTGCAAAGGAGAACAGAACCTGAAATTTATGTAGAAAAATTTGTTTGAGGTACACAATATACTTCTCATAGATACAAGCGTTATATTTTTACAGTTTTTGTTGGAAAATAGTCAATTGAGTGTCATCCAAAGGGAACCTAGACCACTATCTATCCGCAGGAACCTTGTTTAAATCTTAGTTTACGTAGTGGCTAGGACAATATCAGTGTGGCTAAGAATCTTCCTTTTGAAATGTTTACTTGGCTAACCAAATAGCTGTTGAACCTACCTACCATGCATCAGCATAGAGTGCAGGTTTCGAGAGGTGGAACAATTTTGATAGAAAGCACATAGGAATTTTTATCTTTCAGATTGCAGATGAGGGGTAAAGTAAGACCATTCAGTGCTTATTTGAGTATGTGTAGCTATCTCTAAAAATGTGTAAGAGAGAGAATGAAGTGAGAAAACTTATTTTTGTTATATATTTATTCTGATTCCAAAAGTGTAACTATTTTATTTTATAGTCCTTATTAAAGGTACAAAAATGGAAGTGAAGATTTCTTCCACTATCAGTTTTATTTTTTCACTATAAAACTATAAATTCAAGATAGTTTTTCTGTTCTTGTCTTTATTTACTTATTTGGTGCCACCCTATCCATGTACCAGCTGCACCTATCTTTCACATGAAAAATATTTATTTAAAAAAAATTTTTTGGCCACACCGCGCAGCATGCAAGACCCTAGTTCCCTGAGCAGGGATTGAACCTGCCCCCCTTGCATTGGAAGCGTGGAGTCCTAACCACTGGACCACCAGGGAAGTCCCGAAAAATAATTTTATGTAAGAAAACTTTTTAGGAAGGAATCTGAAAGTTGCACATGGGACTCATATTCCTCTCTACTTTCTCTCATGTGAGGCTTCAGGAGCTTAAATGTTGAGAATGTGACTTACACATCTTTTTATTGCCTACAGTACTTTAAACATAGAACACAGAATGCAGTCATTAAATATTGATTATTTGAATAAGTAAAACTGCTGAAGGAGCCAGAGTCAGGGCTTGTATGAAATGACATCGGGCATGTAGTTAAATTATTTGCCACCTGGATGACATAAAGCTTGTATTAGAGGATTTGTCCTTTTGGGAAAAGAATGAAATTTTTCTTTCAAACATATATATTGGGCAGGAGTGTATTAACCCAGGTATCAAATGCAGGAGTGAATTTAATTAATGGTACTGCAAAAACCTTTATGATTCATGGTCTACAATTCTTGGTTTCAAGAAGCAAAGGCTGCCAGACATCCACTGTGATATAGTACATTCTTCATGAACATAGCTATTCATGGGGATCTGCTGCTTTTTAAAAAATTTTCAGTTAACCACATAGGGTTTTTTAAATATTGTTTTCTTTATTTTTTTGATAGCCTGGTTCATTTGGAGTTTTATCAGACTTGAATAGAGTCTACATTATTCTTAAAGGCTGTATTTTTAAAGTACTGAGCTTGTGTAGAATAGACCTGGGTAAACATTCAGATTAGATTTTAGGATTTTTTTAATAGAATGCTTGTTTTTTACTAGAATGCTAATACAATGTTTTTAATGTATTCACTCAAATTTTTAATAGAAGTTTATAAAAATAAATCACTTTTTAAACAACCTGCTTTAAGGGGAAGGAGATAAATGATCTATTTAAAGTAGTTTATTTTACATTTTGAAAATTAATTAATAATTAATTTTGGGGAATTCCCTGACGGTCCAGTGGTTAGGACTCCGTGCTTCCACTGCAGGGGGCTCGGGTTCTATCCCTGGTCGGGGAACTAAGAGCCCTGAAGCCACGTGGTACGGCCACCCCCCCCAAAAAAAAATTAATTTCTTTTCGCATAGTTCATATGTAAATTCATATTTTTTTCTTTATTAACAATAAAGACTTATTAGAGGTGTTACATTGTACCTACAGATTAAATCCAGCATCGTAAATTCCAAGAGACTATCCGATTCTAAAATTTCAGCATCTTGGAGCTTGGCAAGTTTTTTTTTTTTTTTTTTTAATTATACACAAGCATTATGTAACCTTGTCACTACATGTGAAGCCATCTGCAGGTATAAATGGAGAACCAGGAAATACTGATATTGATAGGGTAGATCAGCACTTCTGGTACTGAATCTTCAAGTAATGACTTAGATGTTCAGTATCTGCTCCAATCTGTTAGGCTCTGTGCATCTACTGTATGCCCTCAGAACTATATAGAGCTTTATTTTAGTGAGTGCCCTACACTAAAGGCTAAAGAGCATAATGTTGTTAAGCACTGCAATTTTATGGGTCATCATTATTTCAAGGTTTTTGGTACATTTGGAATTTATTGAAACAGAATTTGACCTCTATTAACTTGTGTGCCCTGAACTGGTAGTACGTATCCCATCAAACACTCATTCTTTCTTGACATAAACATACTAAAAATATAATTTTTCAGAAGCAATGTACATTTTCACAGTAGCAAACAATATTTGAACCCATAAAGTAAATTTTGGAGAAAACAAGTGTAAATATAAAATATAGACCGAACGCAAATGATGGTGAAAGAATTCAGATAATTTGATTCTAGTGACACAGAACCAAGATGGAATCTATTTCTGAGTCATGAGGAATTGAAATTTATAAAAAATATTTTGACATTAGTTGAAAAATTAGGAATTTTCTTTCCCAAATGTCTTAAAAATTGGGGAAATTTAAAAAATCTATATGGCAACCTGACTCAAGAGTTTTCTGGTAACAGGCTTTGTTCCCAGGGTAGAAAAATCTTAGTTCGAATTATAACAATGTTGTGTGTTCATCTCTATCAGTAATTTAACAGAAAGTTTCAGGTGATTGTTTTGCTCTCCATTGACTACCCCAGTTCTGGTTGATATGGTACAAACTAGATTCTATTGTTCTGTCTGATTTATGAGAGTAAAATGATGAAAATTGGTAGGAAGTAGTAGCTTCTGAGATTGTGTTTCACACACGGAGGGCAGCAGTATGCTTTAAAAAGATACATTGCGGGGCTTCCTTGCTGGTGCAGTGGTTAAGAATCCACCTGCCAATGCAGGGGACACGGGTTTGAGCCCTGTCCCGGGAAGATCTCACATGCTGCAGAGCAACTAAGCCCGTGCGCCACAACTTCTGAGCCTGCGCTCTAGAGCCCATGAGCCACAACTACTGAGCCCGAGTGCCACAACTACTGAAGCCCACGCGCCTAGAGCCCGTGCTCTGCAATGAGAGCAGCCACCCAATGAGAAGCCTGTGCACTGCAACGAACAGACCCCGCTCTCCGCAACTAGAGAAAAGCCCACGCCCAGCAACAAAGACAACACAGCCCAAAAAAAAAAAACATACATTGCAAGGGGTAGATCTGTTCTTTATGGTTCTGTGGAAGTATTCATGAAAGAATTTTTTTAAAAATAACCACTTGTTGAAAATGTAGAGGAGGTTCGTACTGTGATTAGGATTCTCAGATTCTTTTTAATCTTCTGATACTGTGATAGAATACAAAAGACTATCTAGCATGGTTTTATTTGTAGGCATGAATTAGTATGCTGCCCTGTCTTTTCTGAGGACATGCATGGCACAAAATCCTTCCTTTACTCATAAATAGAGGTGGTTAAAAATTGGATCTGAAAACTGAGTTTTCTAGTCTATTCCAGGAAAGCCATCCCTTCTGTTTCTCCCACTGACTATTAAAATTTGTTGATTATCATGAGAGACCTTCTGCTATCAATGTTTTAATGATTCTGAAATAGTCTCTTGGACTCTTTCTCCTTAGATTTTTAGTTTGAAGGTTATTTATCCATTTTGGATGGTCGGATATGGTTGCCTTTTGCTTCCCAGCCAGTAGAATAAATAAGTATATTTTTCACTTATTTTGATTTCCAGCTTAGCTGTATTTCTTACAAAACACTGTAAAATACTATTTGCTCTTTCCAAGTTTCTCACCACATTTTTAGTAACATAATAGTATTGGCTTGGCCAAAAAGTTCGTTCAGGTTTTTCTGTAACGTGGAAAAACTCGAACAAACTTTTTGGCCAACCCAATATTACATTGCTGGGCTTTCAGTCATTTAAATCTTTGCTGGGTAAAATATGGAGCAGGTTTGGTGACTTCGTGAGTTGCAGTGGTGCTTTGCAAATTTAAGATTATAACTTCCTGCATTTTATTTCATCTCAATAAAAATCCAAATAGAATCTTAGGAAGGACATTAAAGAAGTTTATTAAAGTTTCTACAAATAATATGCCAAATTTTTTATTAGTTTTTTTAATATATTATAGATTTCTTTTTGCAAAATCCAAGTCTCTTTAACTGTGATAAACTCCATTTCTTTATGTTATATTACTGGGGTTTTTTTCCCTGAAAAGTAAAATCTTTGTAATCTTTTAACAGCCAGACATTATAATCTTTGAAAAGTTTTATTTGCACATTCTTTAAGTAATTGTGATCTTTTTCATTTTTTCCTCTCTGTTCTTTAGTCCGAAAGAAACTCTACCTTCAAAACCTGTAAAGAAAGAGAAGGAACAAAGGCCACGTCACCTACTCACAGACCTCCCTCTCCCTCCAGAGCTCCCTGGTGGGGATCCATCTCCCCCAGACTCTCCAGAACCAAAGACAATCACACCACCTCAGCAACCATACAAAAAGAGACCAAAGTGAGTTTTTGGAGGGACCCTTCCTTAATTACAGCTTTCTTCCTTACCTTTGGACCACAACCTACACCAGTAGGCTTATAGAGGATTGGGCCTAATGTAGATCTTATTTTATTTTAATGGATAGAATCCTTTCATCTACACTCATAGATACCATGTTGTGTTTTTTAGAAAAACAATAATTTCCCAAATCCAAGTATACCATGAACATTGATCCCAGTGTATCATTTGAATTCATAATACTTAGCATATTGAAGAAGAAAAAAATCCTTTAATTCAGAGGGTGTCAACCATGTACACATTAATGAAGAAATAATAGATGCGGGATTTTTTTTCCCCTGAACTACATAAATTGCCATGCCATAAATGTAGTAGAATCTGAGTTTGATCTTCAGATTGTTAGCATTCTTCTCTTGGTAGTAAAAATAGTTGCCATTTATTGAGCACATATTGTTGCCAAAGTTTTATATTTTACTTTCATAGTAACCCTATGATGTAGGGATTATTTTCCCATTCTATGGCTGAGGAAGCCAGTACTCAATAAAGTAGCAAATCTATTGTTATTCGATCTTACATCTTCCTGAAACAAAAAAAAAAAATCTGTGAGAGATTAGCCACTGTGAGAGACTGTTTAAACTATTTATTTCATATCATTTGATTCCTGCTTTTTTAATAAAGAAACTTATAAAAGACTCGGGAGCCAGAGAAATCATCATAAAAGAATTCTGTTTTGTTCTTTGAATACACTTAGGTAATTCCTTGGCATGGTTAGGACTCCATGCTTCTACTGCAGGGGGCACGGTTTTGATCCCTGATCGGGATCCCTCAAGCCGTGTGATGCAGCCAAAAAAATAAATAAAAAGAAAAAGAAAAAAAGGAATGCACTTAATTTTTTAAAATAACTTTTTTGTTTGTTTTTATTTTTGTTTTGCCTTTTTTAGAATTTGTTGTCCTCGTTATGGAGAAAGAAGACAAACAGAAAGTGACTGGGGGAAACGCTGTGTGGACAAGTTTGACATTATTGGGATTATTGGAGAGGGAACCTATGGCCAAGTATATAAAGCCAAGGACAAAGACACAGGTAAATATTGCCACAAAATTTTAGATGTCAGAAGGTTAAAAATTTAGCAGTACTGATGTCTTACGTGGATTTAGCAAAAGTAAACTTTGAGTTCTTATTGGTCTCCAAAAGTTATGAAATAGACTAAAATTTTTCAAAAGAATAGTATAATTATTACTGTCTAAAAACCTTCCTCCTTCTGTCCATTGTAAATGTTTTATAATAAGCTTGCTGGGAATTTAAGAGAAGGTAAAAATAAAATTTGTCAGTTGCTTTTTGGTAAGGGGCTAGTCCTTGAAGATAAAATGAAGTAGCTGGATTATTGATATATTTTAACAATACAAAATTTTTAGGCTTAACAGAATATTGAATTAAAATTTTAAGGGCTTCCTTGGTGGCGCAGTGGTTGAGAGTCCACCTGTCGATGCAGGGGACACGGGTTCGTGCCCCGGTCCGGGAAGATCCCACATGCCACGGAGCAGCTAGGCCCGTGAGCCATGGCCGCTGAGCCTGTGCGTCTGGAGCCTGTGCTCCGCAACGGGATAGGCCACAACAATGAGAGGCCCGCGTACCGCAAAAAAAAAAAAAGTAGGCATTAAGTCTGTGTTTCAGAGCAAGAGCATATATTGGTTGATTCATGATGGTGGCCAAAAAATGCTAATTGTAATATAACACTTTGAATTTGTTGTAACAGGAGAGCTAGTGGCCCTGAAGAAGGTGAGACTGGACAATGAGAAAGAGGGCTTCCCAATCACAGCCATTCGTGAGATCAAAATCCTTCGTCAGCTAATCCACCGAAGTGTTGTTAACATGAAGGAAATTGTCACAGATAAACAAGACGCGCTGGATTTCAAGAAGGACAAAGGTACTAGCAAAGAATCATGTTTCTGCATGGGAGATTGGTACATTTTATTTCCCTTTCTTAGCTTGTTTGCCTATTTGCATTTTTTAACAAGTTGTACTAAAGTCCAGCTTCTTTCTTTAATCCACATCAGAATTAAGATGTTAACAGATTGTTCTTGTGCTGAACAATGCTTATTTTATAAAATGTCCGTTCATCATTAGTGTACTCTTAAACTTTTAGAAATCATTGTTAATCATTAAAATTAGAGTCTGCTGTTAACACCTAATAAGGCCAGCACACAAACAATATAAGAGTCTCCTCCAACCAACGTTTTGAAGTCGGTTTTTTTTGTTTTTGTTTTTTACAAATTGTAATAACAATAATGGAAATTAAAACCCAGATTTGACAGTTACTCTCATTTTTACATCCTTCATTTCTATGCATCCTTTTTTTTTTGCGGTTCGTGGGCCTCTCACTGTTGTGGCCTCTCCCGTTGTGGAGCACAGGCTGCGGACGCGCAGGCTCAGCGGCCATGCCTCACGGGCCCAGCCGCTCCGCGGCATGTGGGATCTTCCCGGACTGGGGCATGAACCTGTGTCCCCTGCATCGGCAGGCGGACTGTCAACCACTACGCCACCAGGGAAGCCCCCGCATCCTTTTTTTATAATGTAGTTTTGTACTTATACAGTTTTGAATCCAAAGCAGGTATTTCTAAAACAGTTTTCAGGTCACATAGTGGTTTGTTTTCCTGGATTTGTAACTTTTGTCTATGGGGGATACATTCGTTTGTTGTTTTCATACTTATGTTTGAAGTAGTCTATATATGACATCCAGCCTACTTTTAGTAAAGTAAATCTGAAGGTTTAGAGAGGGGCAGCTGTGAAGAGGTGGCATCTGTGAATATAGCCTGAGATGTTAACAGAGAATATGATTGAAATACATAAAATTAGGAGGGTAATGGATAAAGCTAAGTTGGACTTCTTTACAGAGCCTCAAATATATTAGCACTAGGGGCGTAATACCTCTTGAGTTTAGTAGAAGTAGTTTTAAAGAAAAGAGGAAATTCTGCTTAGATAAATCTATGAAAGTTAGATTGGAATAGAATTAAGTATACTAGGTATATTTCTGGGTGTGTTTTTTTAACCTTTTCTGATTATAAAAATAATACAGTGTAGGGGCTTCCCTGGTGGCGCAATGGTTGAGAGTCCGCCTGCCGATGCAGGGGACACGGGTTCGTGCCCCGATCCGGGAAGATCCCACATGCCGCGGAGCGGCTGGGCCTGGGAGCATGGCCTCTGAGCCTGCGAGTCCAGAGCCTGTGCTCCGCAACGGGAGAGGCCACAACAGTGAGAGGCCTGCATACCGCCAAAAAAAAAAAAAATACAGTGTATAACTAGTTTCTGTGAGGATGCGTAAGAAAGTGCTAATTGGTTGCTTCTGGAGAGGTGCTTGCTTTTCATCCATGCCCTTCTGTACTGTTTAAATAATTTACCATGTACTGTTTAAATTCTTTTTTAAAAATTCATAAAATAATGGGGGACTTCCCTGGCAGTCCAGTTGTTAAGACTCTGTGCTTCCACTGCAGGGGGCATGGGTTCAATCCCTGGTCAGGGAACTAAGATCCCACATGCTGTGTGGCACAGCCAAAAAATTAAAAAAAAATTTTTTAATCATAAAATATTAAATGAATGAATGGATGTGATGCATGCCCCTTGTGGAAAAATTGAAAACATAGGTGAGTAAGAAAAGGAAAATGGCAGTCATTTCTCTCCCACTCCCAGTATACGAGCATCCATAGAAGATCACTGTAGTATTAGCATGTTGGCATATTTTTTCTAGTACTTTATATTTTATATATATTGTGTTTATTTTAACATAACCAAGATCAAAGTGTATTTAGTGTTTTATAACTTGTCATAAGCAATTTCCTGTATCATTAACATGTTTTAATGACTGTGCATAAAGATAGATGAATCCAAATTTATTTCACCAGTCCTTGTTGAACAATTAGTTGTCAGTTTAAAAAAATATTATAATAGCACTGCATTGAGCATCTTTGTGCATAAATATTTGTATTTTGATTTATTTCTTAATATAGTTTCCTAGAGTAGAATTATTTGGTCAAAGGAATTTTCATATTTAATGTTAGATTGCTTTTAAGAAAGATAGTAATAATTTATGTCCCACCAATGAGTCCCATCCCACTTTATCCTCCCTAACATTGAGTTTATCTTTTAAAAAATTGTCATCTTACCTGATAGGTGAAGTATGAATGATATCATTATTTTGGATTACATTCTTTTTTTTTTTTTTTTTTTTTTTTTTTTTTGTGGTACGCGGGCCTCTCACTGTTGTGGCCTCTCCCGTTGCGGAGCACAGGCTCCGGACGCGCAGGCTCAGCGGCCGTGGCTCACGGGCCCAGCCTCTCTGCGACATGTGGGATCTTCCCGGACCGGGGCACAAACCCATGTCCCCTGCATCGGCAGGCGGACTCCCAACCACTGCGCCACCTGGGAAGCCCTGGATTACATTCTTTATATTCTGAGTTTTTTTCCATGTCTATCAATTTTACTTATTTTCTCTTTTTTTGAGTTGTCCGTTTGTGTCCTTTATCCACTCTCTTTTGCAGTTTTAGTGTTTTTTTAGTTCATACGAGGGCTTAGCTAAAGCTAAGATATTCCTTTAATGCAGTGGTTCTTAACTTTTTGGGAGTCATGAACCTTTTAAAATAGCTTATGGATTCACTCTTCAAAAAAATACATTTAAAATGTTGCATACACACGTGTTTAAAACGTTGTATGTTATTTAGAGAGTTCAAAGAGTCCTTGAAGCCTATCCCGTAGACTAAGAATCCTTGCCTTTATGCTACTGAGAGAAGAATTTTAGACTGGATGGATCATTGTCTAACTGGGTCTAGTATTTCTTATGTTACAGTATTTGCTTCTATCATGCACCCTGTTGAAAGTGGAAAGATAATGTGGATTTCAAATCTTTCACAATTCTCTTAGCCTTTTATCTACTTTTAAATTTAGGGAGTTGAATTAGATGATTCATTTTTCTTTCAATTCTTAAATACTATAAATTTCATTAATAATTCGTACTAAATGTACCCCTGGTGTTATTATGTGAGTGCTGTTAACTAGGGTAAAGATTTCTACAAAATAGTCTTAGACAATGTGTAACAAATGAGCATGGTTGTATATTACAAATAAAACTTTATTTACAGCAATAGGCCGGATTTGGCCCAAGGGGTCTGTAATTTGCCAACTGATTTAGATCATAAAAGACTAGTTATACAATCTAATTGGGGCAGTTGTTCCTTTAGAGAAGTAAGTAGTCCAAAGAGCACTGGACTATGAGTCAGAAGATTAATTCAAAAAATAGCTCTGTTATTTATTGTTAGAATGGGCAAGTTATTCAGCTGCTTGAGTTTTAGTTTCTTCATGTGTAAAATTAAGTGGTTTTTCCAGAAAGCTTATGGTCAACTCCAAAATTAGACGCATTGTCATTTCGGCATCCTTTTTCTCTTGTTTTTAATTTTTTCCTTCATTCTATGTAGGAGCCTTTTACCTTGTATTTGAGTATATGGACCATGACTTAATGGGACTGTTGGAATCTGGTTTGGTGCACTTTTCTGAGGATCATATCAAGTCATTTATGAAACAGCTAATGGAAGGACTGGATTACTGTCACAAAAAGAATTTCCTGCATCGGGATATTAAGTGTTCTAACATTTTGCTGAACAACAGGTAACACAGTAACCATATGAGGTTAAGCATTTTCTCCCTCTCTTCTGACACCCTTAGTTTCAGCTAGTTAATTGGGGTTATAGGTAAACCCAATAATGCACTTTTTTGCATTTCCGTACATCTGATGTCTGTACCTTAGGAACAACTTGTGATAGGGGTACTCTGATCAGCAGAGTCTCCAGACTCAGTGTTGGTAAGGACTAAAAGAGGTAGGATTGTAAAGGTTTTTTTAAATGCAGACATTTTAGAGAATTACTTACATCCTATAGGAATATTCAAAGAGCTTTTGCCATAGTTAGTAAATAATATTTTTGTGGTCTTAGGCAAATTCAAACACACATTGAGTTCTTGATGACATTCTCCTTTGTTTAGTGGGGAGAAACATACCTGCTCTTTTAACTGCTCTCAGTTATCGAATTTCAGAGTAAACACAGATGTAGTTGGTGACTGACCTTGCTTCCCAGCACTTACTCCTGGGTTTTAATAGTATAGACAGACAGGAATTTGGTGAAGAACAGTGTTAATTCTTCTGCTTTCTTCCTCTCTGGCTATTTGCCTAAATTGCGTTGGTGATATCAGTTGCGTTACAGTAGTCTTTGGTGATAGCCCTACATACTGAGGAATAAAAAGCAAGTCTGGTACCATTGAAATAAGGCCAGTGTTTGGTTCTGTAGGTAGTGGGCTGTTTATAGCTATCTTTGTCTGATGCACCCTTTGTTTTAAATATTTCGGATCAGTTCTATTTAACAAACATTATCTAGATGGGAATATGGAATGGTTATGACATATTTCCTGTCTTTGTGGAGTAGCGTGACCAACTCTCCAGTGTAGCCCGAAACTGTCCTGGTTTTAGCACTAAAAGTCCCACATGGGATGGTTGGTCCCTAAAGATTTCAGAGTTTAGTAGGGAAGCTAAACAAATAAGTTGCTCAATTCAATAAACATGTATTAAGCTTTTTTTTCCCCCCTTGAATTTGGGAGCATCTGGGAAGATGCAGTCTTGAGGAATGAACAGGAATTTATCAGAAAGACTGACAACAGAGGTTCACATTTCTAGGCAAAAGAAGAGTGCATGTACAGAAGCACATAAATGTGAAGATAACATAACACGTTATGTTTGGAAAACTGTAAAGGAGTCAGTATTGCTAGGGCAAGAAGAGTGAAGCACATAATGGCAAGAGATGAAGCTGAACAGTTGCAAGGAACCAATTTAAAGATCTTGTACATCTTACTAAGGAGCTTAAATTTTATTTACAGGTAACAGCCATTGAAGGGTGCTGGTTAATTTTTTGTTTTTAAATTATACAATTAATGCATTATTATATTAATTGTACAAATTACTGTAAAATTGTTATTTGTAGTTAAATACCTTTTTTTTTTTTTTTTTTTTTGGGTACGCGGGGCCCTCACTGTTGTGGCCTCTCCCATTGTGGAGCACAGGCTCCCGACGCGCAGGCCCAGCCACTCCGCCGCCTGGTGGATTCTCCCCGACGCGGGGCCCTCACTGTTGTGGCCTCTCCCATTGTGGAGCGCAGGCTCAGCGGCCATGGCTCACAGGCCCAGCCGCTCTGTGGCATGTGGGATCTTCCCGGGCCGGGGCACGAACCCGCGTCCCCTGCAACGGCAGGCGGACTCTCAACCACTGCGCCACCAGGAAGCCCTTAAATACCTTTTTGAGACAAAACACGATATTAAAAATATCATTCCTTTCTGGAGACTTCCCTGGTGGTCCAGTGGTTAAGACTTTGCCTTCCAATGCGAGGGGTGCAGGTTCCATCCTTGGTCAGGGAGCTAAGATCCCACATGCCTCACGGCCAGAAAAAACCAAAACATAAAACAGAAGCAATATGGTAACAAGTTCAATAAAGACTTTAAAAATGGTCCACAACAACAACAAAAAAGTCTTTGGGGGAAAAAAAAAAATATATATATATATATATATATGTCATTCCTTTCTGTCACTATCCCTGTGATCCACCACAATTCTCATTAAAGCTGGGCTTGGTTAATCTGTATCCACAGTAATAGTGTTTCAAAAATTTGATGATGGCTATCATCTTGCAGCTTTCTGGACTATAGTATTAATATACTTTTTTCTGTTCCTTTTGCTCCTCTATTGGGGGATATTTCAGGCCAGGGAATAACTGCAGTCCTGCTTGGTGTCCTTTCTGGTGGGTCAGGCCCCTTTCTGTCCCTGACTTCCCATATTCAGGAAGCTGATAAGGTTTTAGACTAAAGTGAATTTCCTTCTCAGGTTGCTAAGCAGGATGCAGGAGTCTCATGGTCTAGTCTGATCCAGCCAGCCTCTGCTCTTGCCCATTTAGTTCTGTCTACACAGAGACTTCTGGTGAGATGGCCTAGAGAGGAGTCCTTAGGTGGACAAAGAAGAGAAAGCATTGACTAGAGAGGGAGGAGAGCAGCGTTGGGCTCCATGATGTTTATTTTATCTTAATTACACAAGTATAAATGACACCAAATTATTTTAGATATAGGAGAGACATAATTAGTCTTCTGTTTTAGAAACATCACTAAATGGTCACCATATAGCATGTGGACTGGAGGTAGAGAGACTTATTAAGAACAATGTAAGAAATGGTCAGTGCTTGAACTAACCAAGGCATTGCTAGAAGAGGATGGGCAGGATGGACTTAGTAGATCAGTAGACTTTGATCAGTGAGTGAATGGTGGTGAATGAATCAAAGTACTTTAACTCAAAGATTTCTGACCTGAGAAACTATCTAGATGGGTGGCACAGTGGTCAATATAGGGAATACAGAAGGAACAGCAGGATGCGTCAGGCAAAGAGTAAACCCCTTTTGGATATGTCTGTTATATATCCAGGGTAGTGATATCAAATAGGCATATGGTCACATGGGAGTTTCAGACTAGCATTGTAGATTCAGGAGTTATCAAGCATAGAAAAGATGTGAGAAGATGGAACCCCAGGGGCTGATTAGACAGATAGGAAGAAAATAAGGAAATATGAATGCAAAATAGGCAGGTTTAAGAAATGAGTGGTCATAGATGTCAGGTGATGTCAGATTTTAAGGCCCAAGGAGAGAATCTGAAAATTAAAAGGTCAGTGGTGAAAGTGTGGGGTAAGTGGGTGAGTAGCACAGTTAATGGGAAGGTGATTGTAGGTGACTTCAATTTTTTGTTTTTATTAATTTTTTTATTAAAGAAGCAGAAGTTTGAGCATATTTAAATGCTAAGCAAAAAGAAAATCAGTAGAGAGGGGGAAGTTGAAGATTCAAGAAAGAACCAAAGTAATTTAAAGAAATGAGTTTCTGAAGGACATGGGGTCAAGGCCAGAGGTGATAATACTGATTATCCTTGAATAAGAAAAGAGATTGATGCACTTTTCTGTAATTGAAGGGAAAGGAGAAAGCAAGGTTAGAGGTGTAAATAAGTTTATAGGTAAAAGTATGTTAAATAGGTCCCACCTGATGGCTTCTGTTTCCAATGAAGAAGGTTATTTACTGAGAGTGAGAGTGGGGAGGGAGGGGATGGATTAGGAAATATGCTAGGTGGTGATGTTTAGGTCTAGCCTCATTTTCCATAACTGTATATCTATTGCCATTTTAACTTTCAGTCCTACCATAGTAGGACTTACCTTGAGTCTTGGGATCAAAGTAGGGATGCCAAGAAATTTGAGGAACGCTTTTTGTCTCCATATAGGGCTCAAGTCAGCTATTTCTTTCCTTTTTGCTTCTCTCAGAATTTGCTTATAAATCGAACTTAAAATGTGATGATGTCTGGGACAGGTGGGTAAGGTGCCCATAATCTTTACTAGGAATGGTAAGAGTTGATTTAATGTAAAATTTCGTTGCTAGTAGCTTTTATGTTTTAATATTTTGTCCCATTGCTCAGACTTTGAAGAGCACCTCCTAGAAGAGCCCATTTTTTTTTCTCTTCTATCTCATTTTTCTGCTTGATCTGAGCTATCAGGCACCTGAGATATCCCCAGTTCCTTAAAAAAGGTGAATTGGCTTTTCATTCCGCAAGACGTAAGGCAAACTGTAAATGTGAATAAATAGACTACACAAGAATTTAGATAAATATGATTAATCCAAAATAGTTAATGATGGTTTTTAAATAGTTTCCCAACATTTTGTGTTGCATTTTATTAAAATATTGCTTGACATCACTGTCAAAGACAGAATATCTAGCAGAGTGAAACGTGGATGTGATCCCTTTAAGGGAGTGGTTCTCAAAGTGTGGTTCTCGGGTTAGCACCATTGGCATCACCTGTGGGCTTGTTGGAAATGCACATTCATGGACCATGACCTACTGAATCAGCATCTCTGGGAATGGGGCCCAGAAAACATTTAACAAGCTTTCCAGGTGATTCTCATTTCATATTAACGTTTGAGAACCCCTCTAAAGTCATAATTGTGTATCTTTATGGTATAGGAAGTGATGGCAGTTTGTTGGTAGAAGGGGGCCTTGTTCATCATAAAAATTGTTTGTTCAGATCAAAGGTATGTTCTCTGTTTGAAAAATCGGTTATACCCACAGAATTGTTGCAGTTTACTTTTTGTTATGAAAAATGTCAAATTATAAGAAAAAGTTGAAAAAAAAAAAGAAAAAGTTGAGACACTAATATAATTAATAATACATATACAATTAACATTTTGCTATATTTGCTCCCTTTTTATTTTTCTGCCTGACGTATTTTAAAGTAAATTAAAGATATCATTACGTTTGATCCAGTGGTTAGGACTCGGCACTTTTACTGCTGGGGCCCAGGTTCAATCCCTGGCTGGGGAACTAAGATCCTGAATGCCCTGTGGCGTGGCCAAAAAAAAAGCCTTTTGTATAGCTAGTTTATTCAAACTAGAATCAGTCAAGGATTATGAATTGGATTTAGTTGTTAGGCCTCTTAAATCTCTCTTAATCTAAAACAGCCCATTCCTTTTTCCCCCAACAGTAGGTATTTAATCTAGCAGGTTCTAGCCACTGTTGCTTGCCAAGAAATAAAAGAAATATTTAGTTAAGGAGTCAAATCCAAAAATACAGTAGTAGTCCAAAAAAAACTCCCTAAGGCTTTGTATAGTGGAGTCCTCAAAAGAGGCTTAATCTGGCAGAGTGACCATTAAGAGTAGAACTGAAAGAGCAGAGGTTAAAAATTCATATTTGTAATTCCTTTAACTCCTAGATTAGCACTTGACTTTTTAGGTGTAATTTGGAGGCTGCTGCTGTTACTTATGAAAATAATTAATTTTTGTTTTACAGTGGGCAAATCAAACTAGCAGATTTTGGACTTGCTCGGCTCTATAATTCTGAAGAGAGGTGAGTCATTCAACAAAATTACATGTGGGAAATAGGAAAGAGTCTTTTTCATTCTTGGATATGCTAGTATTCTGCAAATTGCAATAACTCTCAGAGTTCCCTAATTTTCTAAATGTGTTACCACCTAGATTTTAGACAGTAAATTATATCTAAATTCTTGAATCTGCCTTAGACTGAAATAAATCAACCCAAATTGGAATGGAAGTTATTTCTTCATCACCTTCTGTCCAGTTTACTTTTGAACTCTTAGGTTGCTATGGAGCTGTTTTGATGATCCTGTCTCCAGTTGGCAGCTGTTTTAATTTGCATTTAATTGTACAAGTATTTTTCATCAGAAACCGTTGTAGCCATTGTAAATTTATGTCATGGTTATGTTTTACATTTCAGCCGCCCTTATACAAACAAAGTCATTACTCTGTGGTACCGACCTCCAGAACTTCTGCTGGGAGAGGAGCGTTATACGCCAGCAATAGATGTTTGGAGCTGTGGGTAAGGCTTTTTTCACCTTTTCTTTTGTTTGTAACTCACATACTGTTGAATTTGTATCCTGTTTTATCTCTACTTTGGCTTTTTGCCACTCTTCTTTAAGTTCAAAAGGATGGGGATCAACTTTTAGCCAGATTTCAAAGAAATCTGTTGAATATTTCTTAACATCAGACAAATATTTTTTTTTAACATTTCCCCAATTTTCTTTTTTTGTTTTTTAAGCTTACTTTGAATTTGGATCCAAATACATTCAAATAAGGCTCATAGATTGTAATTGATTATCTCAAGTCTTTTAATTACAGATTCCCCCTACATCTCTCTTAGGATTTTTTCCCCCCTTCTTAAAATGTTTTTTAGAAGAAACTGGGTCATTTGTCCTACAGAGTTTTCCATAATCTGGACTTTGCTGGTTGCATTCTCATGGTGATCTTTTAGCATGGTTCTCTATTTTTTTTATTTCCTGTAAATTGTAGGTGAATTCAGGTTTGATTCCCAACACCCACTGACCCTGAAACTATTTTACAGGTGGTTTTGAGTACTTCTGACAGATTACATAGTCACTTGTACATCAGAGTTGGGGGTAGGAAGCAGTGGGAGCCTCTGCCCATAGTACAGGCAATAACTGGATACATTATCTGTAGAGAACTTAAAAACAATTTAAAAATGCATTACAAATTAGTCTACTTTTTATTATCCTCTTATACAAGCAGTTCTAAACAATGTCTAATAAAATATTCATCCCTATGGGAGCAGATTTACACATACACACACCACTTTATATAATATGTAATTGTCTCTTTTTGAAATGTTATTAGCTATTAATGATCCACATCCATCAATCCATTTGTGGTTGTTTTGTGATACGATAGTCTAATCATTTTATTCTTTCTTGAAATAAAGACAGTTTATCTATTTGGGTACAAATGATACAGAAAAGGTTTAATTAGGGAATTCCCTGGTGGTGCAGTGGTTAGGACCCCATACTTTCACTCCTGGGGGCCTCGGTTTGATCCCTGGAAGGGGAACTAAGATTCCACAACCTTCGTGGCACAGCCAAAAAAAAAAAAAAGTTGAAAAGGTTTAATTAAAGGTTGAATTCCTTCATTTTATTTACCAGTTTTCAAAATAATGAGGTGGCTTACTATTATCCTCCAAAGATGACCAAAGAGAAGTTATTTGGGGTTTGTTTTTTAGTTTCATTATGAACTCATGGATTTAAACAAATTTGACATGTTTTAATTCATTGTAGTTATCACCTTTATTCCTCTTCAAACTGTCCGGTCTTTGGTCAGTGGGCGTTTATGCAGGTTAATTCATGGGACCTTTTGACTCAACCATATTAGTCTTTGATAGGCTTCATTGTTTTCTGGTTCTAGGCTCATCCTGTTCATTTCCTGCTACAGACCTGGAATTGGCCATTTCTCTAAGGAGTCTTAGTTCCTTTTAGTACAAAATGATACTTAGAGGCCACAATTTATATGTTAGGGGCATAGACATTTAAATGGGCTGTGTTAGTTGTTTCATTTTTTTTTAATATATAAATTTAATTAATTTATTTTTGGCTGCGTTGGGTCTTCGTTGCTACACGTGGGCTTTCTCTAGTTGAGGCAAGCAGGGGCTGCTCTGTTGCTGTGCGCAGGCTTCTTGTTGCGGTGGCTTCTCTTGTTGTGGAGCATGGGCTCTAGGCACATGGGCTTCAGTAGTTGTGGATTGCGGTCTCTAGAGCACAGGCTTAGTAGTTGTGGCACATGGGCTTAGTGACTCCGTGGCATGTGGGATCTTCCCGGACCAGGACTCGAACCTGTGTCCCCTGCATTGGCAGGCGGATTCTTAACCACTGCGCCACCAGGGAAGTCCCCTAGTTAATTGTTTCTTACACTGTATGATTTATGTATGCACACTGACCTTGACCTCCGTACTTTAGGATTCTGACACACATACTTCCCAGTGGAACGTATCACTTTTTTCCATTTTCTCTCTTCTCTTAATGTCATTCTTTAAAAGGAGCAGTATAGGGCTTTTATTTCAAAATTCAAAAGAGTGATGGAGAAAGATCATAATTTCTGTAGCAGTCTACCCAATTCAAATGAAGCTTTAGTTAAATTTTACTGACTCAAGCTGGGTGTGTTTGTGTTCTGGACTATTTGCTCTAACAGTATTAGCATTTAAATTGTCACAACTAGGCTCTAAAGTTAATGCCCCATTAAGATGCACAGGGAAAGTTCATAGCTCTATTGGTACTATTTCTGTGCAACCTGCTACATTAGTGCAGTAGCAAAGTGTTGATTACATAATGATGTCTTCCCCACCAAAGGACTGGAAACTGAAATAAAACACAATTGGAAATTAAAATTATAGAAAATTATACTTTCTTTAAAGCTCAGTGACTCATTGAATTGAGATTTTGCTTGACTTTTGATGTGCACTTACTGCTTTGGTGATCCATGGTAGTCTGTCTGAAGATATTTTTGTGGGATGTTCTTGACAGAGTTAATTGATGGAGCAGTTCAGTTTGAAAATCTGGGGAGAAACCAGAAAGACTAGTATAACACATTATACCTAGAGTGTGAAAACTCATCTGGGTTTGTTCTTTTTCCATTTTATTTTACATGTTGTGATAACACTGTATTTGGAATTTGATTTGGCAGTTAATATTAGAAACAATTAAATTTTACTTATACTTTTCTTTCTTTGGATAAGGTTTGTGAGAATATTGGAAATAAGAATTTGAGGTTAACAAATACTAAAAGAAAAGTGCTAATAACTTTAAAAGCTGGGTTTGTTTGCTTTCTCAAATTTTGTCAAGCTAAAGAATTTCAAAGTTAAACTATATACAGTTGTCCCTCTGTATCCACCAGAGGATTGGTTCCGGGACCCCCTGCATCCAAAACGCAGGGATGCTCAAGTCTGTTATATTAAATGGTATAGTGTTTGCATATAACCTACACACACCCTCCCACATATCCTCCAGTATACTCTCAATCATCTCTGATTACTTACAATACCTAATACAATGTAAATGCTGCATAAATAGTTGTAAATACCATGTAATTGCTGTGTAAATAGTTGCCAGTGTGGCAAATTTAAGTTTTGCTTTTTGGAACTTTCTGGAATTTTTTTTCTAAATATTTTCAATGGTTGGTTGAATCTGTGGATAGGAACCTATGGATACGGAGGGCTGACTGAAAACACTGGTTTTGGGAATATTTGTAAATCTCATTTCAGAGCACAGGTTAGAAGAGATTCGTTGTTCACTTTTTTCTTCCCCACTTTTTGAAAAAAAAAATTTCAGGCACACAAAAAAGTATAGAGTATTCGTGTAATTTTTTTCATGTTTTAAATTTATTTTGAAATAATTTTAAATGTATAGAAAAGATGCTAGAATAGTACAAAGAACTTTAGTATAACCTTTATCCAGATTCACTGATTTTTTTAACCTTTCAATTGAGATTTACAATAAACTGCATATATTCAAAGTGTATAATTTAAGTTTTGACATATTATTTATATACACCAGTGAAACCATCACCAAGGTCACCTCCAAAATTTTCCATGTGCTCCTTTGTAGTCCCTCTTTACTGTCCATACCATCCCATTCCCAGGCAACCACTGTCTGCTCTCTATCACTTTAGATTGATTTCCATTTCTAGAATTTTATGTAAACAGAATCATACTATATATGCTCTTTTTTCCCTATGGCATCTTTTTTTTTTCCCCCCCAGTACGCAGGCCTCTCACTATTGTGGCCTCTCCTGTTGCGGAGCACAGGCTCCGGACGCGCAGGCTCAGCGGCCATGGCTCACGGGCCCAGCTGCTCCGTGGCATGTGGGATCTTCCCGGACCAGGGCACAAACCCATGTCCCCTGCATCGGCAGGTGGACTCTCAACCACTGCGCCACCAGGGAAGCCCTGCCCCTATGGCATCTTTTACTCAGCATTAATTATTTTGAGATCATTTGTGTTAGATTCACTAATTTTTTTTGTGTGTGTGGTACGCGGGCCTCTCACTGTTGTGGCCTCTCCCGTTGTGGAGCACAGGCTCCAGACGCACAGGCTCAGCGGCCATGGCTCACGGGCCTAGCCGCTCCGCGGCATGTGGGATCTTCCCGGACCGGGGCACGAACCCATGTCCCCTGCATCGGCAGGCAGACTTTCAACCACTGCGCCACCAGGGAAGCCCAGATTCACTAATTTTTAACATCTTGCCACATTTCTTCTTATATTCACATATGTATATATTATGTGGTATGTATATGTATTATATATACGTACTTATATATAATACAACATACAGTATATACATAGAATAGAATGTGTGTTTATATATATATACCATATATGGTTTTCCAGAACTATTTGAAAGTAGTTCTATGTATCATGCTCCTTTCCCTCTTAATATTTAATGTACGTTTCCTAAAAACAAAGATATTCTCTTATAATCACAGTATAATTATCAAATACAGGGAATTTAACATTGATACAATATATTTAATAGAGTACTTTAACCTACATTCCATACTCTGATTTTGTCGGTCCCCTCATAATGTCCTGGAAACAATACTTCACCTGATAGAGGATCCAGTCCATTATCATGTACTACATTTAGTTTTCATTCTTTAATCTGGAACAGTTCCTTAGCCTATTTTTGGTTTTGATTTTGGCTGGAATATTCCATAAGTGTTCTTTTTTAAGTTTAGTTGATTTATAATATTAGTTTCAGGTGTACAACATAGGGATTCAGAATTTTTGTACATTATGTTTCATTTAAAGTTACTATAAAATATTGACTACCCTGTACTGTACAGTGTATCCTTGTAGCTTATCTGTTTTATACATAGTAGTTTGTAGCTCTTAATCCCCTACCCCTATCTTGACCACCTCCAAGTCCCTCTCCCCGTAACCACTAGTTTTTTCCTTCTATCTGTGAGTCTATTTCTGTTTTGTTATATTCATTCGTTTTATTTTTTAGATTCTACGTATTAATGGTAATATACAGTATTTGTCTTTCTCTATCTGACTTATTTCACTAAGCATAATACCCTCTAGGTCCATCCATGTTGTTGCAAATGGCAGAATTTCATTCTTTTTTATTTCATAAGTGTTTTTTTTAAGGTATTACATTTGTATTTACATGAACCCTGTTTGCCTCTTACTGATGATGTTAATTTTGGTCACTTGGTTAAGGTGTTGTCTTTTTTCCACACTAAATAGTTATCAGTTTTCCTTTTGTAATTAAGTAATTTGTGGAGAGATACTTGGAGACTGTGTAAATATGTCAATATAGTTTTGAAAGGCCTTTTCAAAATGGTAAAAGTTTTTAAGCATAATGTGTTTGAAAGTCCTATTGAAACTGATCCTGACTGATAACAATAAACTTCTCTTTACAAATACAGTGCCAAGAGGGCTGTACATGTACATAGTGCACATTCTGTAGAGCAGATGAATGAAAAAGGCTAATATTCTTTTTATTGAAACTGCTGAGCATCTTTGTAAAATTGAAGTGTGTGTTTTTCAGTGTTTAGTTATTTCCTAAATTTACAGTGGAATTGATAGAAAAGGCTTCTTGACTCCTTTTTTCTGCTTATAGACTGTCCTTTATAGGTGGCAAAAGTTTGATCTACCAGCAAATCTAAATCCTTTGTACTATTTTCACTGCAAGAAATATTTTCTTTTATGAAACTCAGACCCTGAGTTTTGGGCTTATTTAGTATATCAGATACAGTCTGATACGCTATAAAAGTTTATTGAGACACACTTTAAATAGGCTCCAGGGATTTCTCTTCTGACCTCTCATTTTTTTTCTTTCTAGATGCATCCTTGGGGAACTGTTCACAAAGAAGCCAATTTTTCAAGCCAATCTGGAACTGGCTCAGCTAGAACTGATCAGGTACAGCTGTGCATGTGCTCTGAGTGCCCAGGGGTGATAGGTAATCTCATCCTCTAATTTCTAACACTTTTCAGTCATTCCACTAAGTGAGTTTATGCTCCTTATGTCTACGTAAGTTTCTCTTCACTCAATCAGGTTTACTATATATTTTGTCACGGGTTGTATATGGAAAGAAGTTGTATTCCACCTACTTCTTAGGTCTTTCTTTGCATTTTTTTTTATTAGTTCTTCATATAAAAGCATGCTGTTTTCAGGATAGCTGTTGCATTCTTACTTAGGTTACATTAAGATCAACTTTATCCAGCAAACATTCGTTGAGCCTGTTCTATAATAAATTCCTGTCTCTGTTAAACTTTAGGATTCAGAGATAAATAAGATAGGTCCCTGCCTTCAAAGAACTCAGAGTTTAGTAAGTGATGCATCAGGTAAACAGATAATTATAAAAGGGAGCCTGTAATAGAGGATTTGGGGAAGGTCTGGGGTTGGGATGGAATTTGAGTTTTGTTTTCTGTTTTGTTTTATTTCTTTTCAATAAGATTAAGGGGAAGAATACGACAGGCTAATGTAGACCTTTTTTTTTTTTTTTTTTTTGCGGTACACGGGCCTCTCACTGTTGTGGCCTCTCCCATTGTGGAGCACAGGCTCTGGATGCACAGGCGCGGCGGCCATGGCTCATGGGCCTAGCCACTCCGTGCCATGTGGGATCTTCCTGGACCCGGGCACGAACCCGTGTCCCCTGTATCGGCAGGCGGACTCTCAACCACTGCACCACCAGGGAAGCCCTAATGTAGACTTTTTTTTAAAGGTGGTGTGTAACTCATGTGTTATGCAGTAAATTCAGTTTTCCATCAAAATTCTAGACTTAGGCTCTCTTCTGCTAGTTTTCCCTTTTAGGGACATTATAGCACCAGGTCAGCTCTTTGAAATTAGTATTAACTGAACAGAACAAAATTGGTAGTTGAAACCTATGTGGAGGATTAAGAACATGTTTTACAAAACCAAATCTGTGGATCATTTTGGACTATTGTGCCAATATTTTCTCTTCACTGTCGTGTAACCAGTCTTTCTGTCCTGTTCCTTCTGTCCTTAAAGCAGTGTGGTCAGGTCTTATCTCTCTGCATGCCTTTTAACTTAATAAGCCAAGATCCCCCAGACCTGAGGAGGTAATAATTTCTGCTTCTAGAATCTCCAGAATTTATGATGCTGACTCACTGACTTCCTTGTTCTTGCTTTTTGCTTTGTTTTCAGTCGACTCTGTGGTAGCCCTTGTCCAGCTGTGTGGCCTGATGTTATCAAGCTGCCCTACTTCAATACAATGAAACCGAAGAAGCAATATAGAAGGCGCCTACGAGAAGAATTCTCTTTGTGAGTTTGACAAATATGTACATCTAGTTTCCATGTTTGGCTGTTGTTTGGACTTGACTTTTTCCTGTCCTAGGGAGTTAGTGCTGTCCCAATTTATTATGAAAACACACCATAGGAAAACATTTTATTTTTGAGCAGTATGAGTTTTATCATAGCCCTTTTGTAATTTTCTCATATGAAGGCTTTAGCTGATAGAAAACCATTTTATTTTGAATGATATACAAGTTTTCTCATAGTCCTTTTGATCTTCCTAAAACAAAAAGAATAAAACTGCTGGCTTTATGTTTCTACCTGTATTACTATTGCATTTCTTGAATCCTTTGTGGAAGTAAATCTGCTTGCTTGTTTTGCCAGGTTCCAATTCCCTTCCCATAGTTTTACATGGAGCTGGAAATTCAGAGACCTTTGACATAAGGTTACCGGTTTAAGAACTGTGGGGTCATTGTGAACTCATTGTTTCTCTCTTTTTTCACAGCATTCCTTCAGCAGCACTTGATTTACTGGACCACATGCTGACGTTAGATCCTAGCAAACGCTGTACAGCTGAACAGACCCTACAGAGTGACTTCCTTAAAGATGTCGAGCTCAGCAAAATGGATCCTCCAGAGTAAGTGCTGGTGGCCATGTAGTGACCCTAAACCTTCCCGAGGCTTCAGGAGATGAGAAACTCAAAATAATAGGTTTTTTAAAAAAGGAACTGCAGTGGCCGACCAAATAGAGAGGTGTCCTTGAGTATTATGGTTCATAAGAAGTTTATTGCTTTATGTTTTTTTCTTAAACAAGGAATAGATTTAGATATGATATTTGTTCTAACTGGACTCATGCTATCTTCTTTTGTCCCTGGATCCCCAGCATATTGCTCTATATAACCTCTTTGAAAGTATTCCTTCTAATTTTTGCTTTTAACCATTTCATCTTTTTAAATTCCCTATATCTGCGGTGACCATGTTATCCCACACATGCAAGTACAGTCCTGATTTTAAATAGTTTGTCTCACTATCAAGCCATATGTCCTGAATTTTGATATAGAAAATATGGTCTATGAATGTGTCTTTCTTCCATCAGAATCTTATTAATTTCCTGTATTGTATGAGATCCTCAGAGGTTCTACACTCACATCTCACATTCTGATAGATAAAAATCTTTGACTTTCACTGTCAGCATTATAGCTTTCATGTCAGATTTTTTGGGCATTTCTTTCTTATAGAAATACTGTGTATCTTAAATGTATGAGATGTTAGTACACGAACAGGTAATATCTACAAACCTGATAATCCAAAGAAATGTTCGAATTCATTTATTGTGTTTGAATTTTGATACATTGAATGTGATTGAAATATGTAAGCTTTTTAGTAAAAATTGGAAACTTGTTACAGAGAAATTTTGGCTATGATAGTCTTTATTGTGGTAAGGTTTGACTTACTGGAATTTATTGAGTATAGGAAAGTCTGGAAATATGTTAAAATATACTAATAAACCTCACAAATGAAAATATCCAGTCATGAAATTCAGTGGGCAGAAAGAAGAAAGAACCAGTTTTTTGGTCCTTACAGACCAAGTGATACATAAATCGATTTTACACAGAGGTGATTTAATCATGATATTCTTATGTGGTTCCAAGATTTAAATTACCACCTTGCCTGGACTTTTTGTGGATATTAACAAGGCAGTCACCTCTGTTCTATTTATTCCCAACTGAAACTTGACCAGTAAAGGTCTCCTTTATTTTTGTTACGCCAAGCAAGAACAGTTATAAAACTTAACTGTTTGACTGGAATATGGGCATTTATATAGCAAGTGTGTCTGTGGTATTAGCAAGATCTTCATTTCTCACTGTAGAAAGAAATTCTTTGGGCTTTTGGATTTTTAGTTTCTCAGACTACCATATGCCGTGATTCTATTTACACTGCTACTATCTGTTTACTAACTTTTCCGGTTAGTTTTATATTTTCCTTATCCTTTCTATTTCCCCTTGCTCTTTGCCTTCCCATTTTATTTTATTTATTTTAAAAAATTTATTTATTTATTTTTGGCTGCGTTGGGTCTTCATTGCTGTGTGCAGGCTTTCTTTAGTTGCGGGGAGCGGGGGCTACTCTTTGTTGCGGTGTGTGGGCTGCTCATTGTCGTGGCTCCTCTTGTTGCGGAGCACAGGCTCTAGGCACATGGACTTCAGTAGTTGTGGCTTGCGGGTTCTACAGCACGGGCTCAGTAGTTGTGTCACATGGGCTTAGTTGCTTCACGGCATGTGGGATCTTCCCGGACCAGGGATCGAACCCAGCGTGTCCCCTGCATTGGCAGGCGGATTCTTTTTTTTTTTTCGGTATGCGGGCCTCACTGTTGTGGCCTCTCCCGTTGCGGAGCACAGGCTCCGGACACGCAGGCTCAGCAGCCATGGCTCATGGGCCCAGCCACTCTGCGGCATGTGGGATCTTCCCGGACTGGGGCACGAACCCATGTCACCTGCATCGGCAGGCGGACTCCCACACTGCACCACCAGGGAAGCCCAGGCAGGCGGATTCTTAACCACTGCGCCACCAGGGAAGCCCCTGCCTTCCCATTTTAATCTCTTGTTCCTCCATTCACTCACTACTGCATTCCCACACACATTTCTTTTGTCTTTTTCCAGCCTCCCCCACTGGCAGGATTGCCATGAATTATGGAGTAAGAAACGGCGACGGCAGCGACAAAGCGGTGTTTTGGTAGAGGAGCCACCTCCACCCAAAGCCTCTCGAAAAGAAACTATCTCAGGGACAAGTGCTGAGCCTGTGAAGAACAGCAGCCCAGCACCACCTCAGCCTGCTCCTGGCAGGGTGGAGCCTGGGGCTGGGGATGCAATAGGTCAGTGCTGGCAGTGCTGGGATAGAGCCTTTGTGCTTTTACTAAGCACTTGGCAGATTTTGAAGGTCAAGTGCAAGGGTGTGTGTGTGTGTGTGTGTGTGTGTGTGTTTTTGTTTTGTTTTGTTTTTTGTGGTACGCGGGCCTCTCACTGTTGTGGCCTCTCCCGCTGCGGAGCACAGGCTCTGGACGCGCAGGCTCAGTGGCCATGGCTCACAGGCCCAGCCGCTCCGCGGCATGTGGGATCTTCCCGGACCAGGGCACGAACCCGTGTCCCCTGCATCGGCAGGCAGACTCTCAACCACTGCGCCACCGGGGAAGCCCTGTGGGTGTGTGTGTGTTTTAATTTAAGATTAGATTACCCATGGCTCCCTAACATAATTGGAGCCCTGTTTTATGTTAGATTTGATAAGACCTTCTTAGAATTTAATCATGTTAAGTCACAATTGCTAAATGTAGTTAGTTCTGTAGCCTGTTATTTGATCTAAATGTATCAAAAACTGTGTAATAATGAATTATTATAAACAACAACGTAGCTGTCCTGTGGTGCAACCATTTTTTCTGAACTACAGCTATTCCTTCCTTGGCTCATTTTTCCTTCCTTGTCCACTTAAAACAGTGGTTTTCAATGCTGGCTGCACATTAGAATCATCTAAAAAGCTTTAAATGTAAACACCTCCAAACAGTTGCCAGATCTCTAGGGATGGGACCTGAGGCTTCTGAATTTTAAAATCTCTCCTATTCTCATTGTAAAGCAATTATACTCTCATAAAGATATTAAAAAAACAAACAAACAAAAAACCTCTCCTATTCTGATGTACAGTAAGGGTTGAAAATCACTGACCTTGAAGAATATAGATAAAATGAAGTCACTTTTACTCACAGTACAGAGATGTTTTAATTAGTCCTTGGATTTTTAAGTGAAAATATAAAGAATAACAAATGTGTCATGACAGTTGGAGGCATGAAAAATGAGACATTCAAAATGAAACTTCATTCATTGGGTATTGTAAGTTGCTATTGCCAATTGAAGAAGGCAAAGGTCCTTGCCTTGCCTCATCCTCTTATATTGGCTCCACTGTCTCTCCACAGGCCTCGGTGACATCACACAGCAGTTGAATCAAAGTGAATTGGCAGTGTTATTGAACCTGCTCCAGAGCCAAACTGACCTGAGTATTCCTCAAATGGCGCAGCTGCTTAACATCCACTCCAATCCAGAGATACAGCAGCAGCTGGAGGCCCTGAACCAATCCATCAGTGCCCTAACAGAAGCCACTTCCCACCAGCAGGACTCAGAGCCCACAGCCCCAGAGGAATCTTTGAAGGAGGCACCCCCTGCCCCAGTGGTCCAACCTTCCGCAGAACAGACAACCCCTGAAGCTTCAAGCACACCAGCTGACATGCAGAATATGTTGGCAGTTCTCTTGAGTCAACTAATGAAAACCCAGGAGCCAGCAGGCAACCTGGAGGAAAACAACAGTGACAAGAACAGTGGGCCACAGGGGCCCCGAAGAACTCCCACAATGCCACAGGAGGAGGCAGCAGGTAAACAGACCGGTCATGAATCTCATTGAGCTCAGGTGCTGTTGATCCTCTTAAAAATCTCTTAACATTTTCTTTTTCACATCAGTGGCCTCGGTTTCAGTCTTTCTGTCACCTAGTCTACAGGAGAACATAGCACCAAGTGATGTATTTCTTGCCCAGCTTCTTTTATTTAAGTCTCAAAGCTTCTTAAAGCACCTTTCATATACTGATTGTTTTTCCATCTTTCCATTTCCTAGGAAGTAGGTAAGTAAAGTCCCTGTGTTCTCACACAAGGAAACCACAACTGTAGCTAGTGATGCATCTTGAACCACTGTGTGTGTGGTGGCCAGCTAGTATTGGCACTTGAAAATCTGCCTTCCAAACAAACCATTATCAGATTGTACAAATAGTTAATTGTACTCTAGTATAGTGGATGCTAGATACCAGAGTCTCGCCAGAAACATAGTCAAGAAAGCCCTAATAAGATATCATTGTTAATCTCCTGAAGAATAATTTCAGATTTTTAAGTAGATAATTAACAAAGTACATTTCCTTTCTAAAAAATAGCATATAAAAATGATTCCTTTATATCTGTGTTCCTGAAAGAGATAATTAAATGGACCCCAGATTAGGAATTGAGCATTATATTAAAAAAAAAATCTGAAAAAAGGAAATATGTATACCTTGATCTCACATGACCACAGCATACAATTTATTAGAGGGAAAAGAAGTTTAAATTTTCTAATGAATTCTGACTCACAGTCTTTACTTGCAAAATCTTTACTTATCTGAAAGTGATTCCAACTCCTTGGAAATTTTTGCTGTCCATGAAGACCCCATGAATTGGGGGATGAGAAGATGTACAAGGTCTGATGGGGTACACTAACCTTCAACTTTTAGGCTGTTGCATTCGCATTTCTTATGGGTTGGTATGGAGAATATATGCCTTATTTCCACTAGTACAAGGTCAAATATATAAACTATTTATCATATGTAAAGTTAAAAAAAAACAGAAGGTAACATAAATAAAATTACCCCCTTACTTTATAGATAGGGAAACTGTAATCCAGGAAGTTTAAATAAGCCTGCCTATGGTCCCACTGCTGAAATCATATTATTGGCAGAGGCAGAACTAGAATTCCTGTACTTTGTTAATGTGTTTCTTTTTAATGTTTCTTAATTCACTTTGCTATTATGCCATAACAATTCCAGTTGTTTTTAAGAGACTCCAGGACGTGGAATAACAGAGAAAGCAAATCTAGAATTAAAGTAGGCCTTTTTGTCTCATCTCTCATACCTTCCTTCCTTGCACCACCACCCATCCCCCCAACCCCCCCAAAAAAATTCAGCTATAATCAAAATATCTGAAAGAAGTTGTTCAAGTTCAATGGCATAGTGATTGAAAGAAATTCACCCAGTAATTGAGTCAACAAGCTATCAGCCAAATGGTGAAATTGAACTAAAATTAAGGCCTGGCTCATGGCCAGAAATTGTTGGATTTACTTTTCAGAGGAGAGTAGAAATGCCATTCCTAATGATTACAGTCACTTTTGGATTATCCCGTTGGTGTCTCTCCGATGTCTCTGTTCTTGTTTCTCCCCTGCTACCTCTCATTTGGCCATTTTAGTGTTCATTAGCACTTCCACCAGAGGGCAGACTGAGTTAGCCAGAGAAGGTAAAAATCTATCACTTTGGCTACTGTTTAGCTATTCTGTACTCGTTGGGAAAGGGTTTTGGTTGAAATCTAATGAGTAAAATGAAGTTTTAAGTTATTTGTGTATTTCATTAATCCCTCCCGCCATCGGTACAGGCTGTTAAGGATTGGCAATATTGTTAATACTTTGAATCTTATAACAGTATGTTTTTTTAATGTGATCTTTTAATTCTCTTAAGATGTTTTATTAACCTTTAATAGTTCTTTACAATCCATCTGCCTTTGCTATTTTGAAATAGTTTTCATCCTCTCATACATGTGAAAGAATGTGAGCTCAAGAATTAGTTCTGTTGAAACACAACTAGGCTATTTACATAAAAGGCAAATATGAAAAGTAGTATAGATGGAAGAAAATAAGTGTAGCTTTGTCCATTTTTGCAGTTAGGCATTTTTAAAGTTGTTTGCCCTTAGTATTAAAAAAACAAACAAACAAAAAAACCCAAAAAAACTGGTGTTCCGTTTCATGTACAGACCAAAAATACTTTAAAAAATAACTGGTACTGTGATTGATGTTCTTATGTAGTGAGATATGTAGTGTTCACGGCAGAAAGCTCTGAAATCTATAGATGTTTGTAGTCCAGTTAGCTCTCCTTTTTCTGGATGTCTACTTTTCAAGTTGTGAGTTTTCTGTAGCTAATTCTTTTGTCCTTTAATTCAGTTTTCTCTACCACCTAGTCAACCAGCCAGTCTGTTAACAAGTAACTTGGGTGCGTATTGTATATAGGATGACCACCTTGTCCCTGTACTGTCCTGGTTTTAAAACTGAAAGTTAGCAACCTGGGAACCCCCTCAGTCCCAGGCAAATTAGGACTCTTGGTCACCCTACTTGTATGTTACACACCGACCTTATCCTCCTACTGCTCAACAGTTTTGTAGTGTTTTCAGAGTACTTTCATCTGCACGCTAAGGGCATGCTTACTTTCCTGATTGTTTTTGCAAAATATAATTGTGGTAAATATACAACCCAAATACCTAATGATAACTATAAAAACTACTTTTGGCTTGCCTGAGTAATGACTTTATATCACTATCTCAGATAATAATAAAGAATTGATTATATGGACATTCAAAAATATGCTTCCATAGGGAACAGAAAAATCAATCATTTGGAAGATATCCTAAAACTTTAAGTCTTTTCTTCAGCAA